GAGAAACGCGAAAGTGCTCGCGATACTGGCCGATAATTTCACCGCGCAGGATCCCGATTAGCGATTCGATAATGACATTTGGACAATGGACACGGCGGAATAATCATAAAGAGGATTTCATTAGTACACAATTGGCTAACCGGTTATTGTCCCTCTTTGAACGTCACGGCTGATAGAAGTGGTCGCCACTCGCGCTGTGGATAATAAACGCATCGTGGAAAATGTTTGGTTGATATAGACAATGTAAATTGGTACTACGAAAGTAATCGAGCGTTATTTCAGTTCCGCTTGAAACTCGATCAATTTCATCAATGTATCAAGAGATGTAATAAGTCAATTAAATATAATGAAATAATCACAATAAAGCATATGTACAGAAATACGCGGATTTTGTACGAACGCAAGTCACCGGAAAAAAAGACAAGACAACAAACATCTAACATAAGCGTCGCCATAGTCACGATCAAATAGTTTACGAATGCAAAATCGATATAAATGACACACGTTAGAGAATCAACTGTAATGTATTGATCCGTAATGCGGTCTCTTCATCATTATCGGACGGCTCGTCGATTTGCCGGCTGTCAATAGGAAATTACGACTGCGCGTCACGTAAATATTTAGCGATCGTATCGGACAACGCGCATTAACGCAGAAACGTTATATTGGTCGAAGCGCAGGGGTTATAAGGGATCATAAAGGGTGGATTTAATCGTCACGTAATTGTCGTTTTAATCGATTATTGCGCGATACCTCTTTAAACGTTACGGTTGATAAAAACGCGGCAGCGCGATTCGCACACGGGTCATGCCATGTTCACGTAACAGACAACCCCGTGGAAAATGCTGAATCGTCGAGAGGCTTCGCGGCGGCATATATATCAGAAATATATTCGTCGTTGATTATAATTTCGGTTGTTCCGCGGCGGTGGTTTTGCCCGTTGTAGAATTAGCAGAAATTCTGGCTCAGCGAGCAAAACGATATCGCAGTGGCAGCGCAACGCGACGCGGTGCATTAATGACACGTGCTTCGCGTAATTTCAATAGGCGATGCGGCGCATCGCGACCGCACCCTATATCGCGATGCGTGCGTGCATGGGAGATGCGACGGCTACGCATCGCCGAACGAAATTCATCGTGACGTAATGAGCTTGTGATGCCCGGTGTCGATAGACAGATAGACAGAGAGCAGGACATTTATTCGACGTACTGGGATAAAGTTGCCTATAACTCCGCGAGCAGAGAATGATATAGATGATTATGTATATAGATTGTAGGTGCGGTAAAACTGCACAAAGGATTCTAAAATTTAAACATTTAAAAAAACATATATCTTTAGAGACGTCTGTGTGTATTGTCTAAAGTTTCTAATATAACTTGCGTATGTCATTTTTTTTTTAGAGAATAACATCCATAATTCTAGAAAAAAATGATTCGTTACGAATGAGACGTTACGGGATAAATCGCCAAAGAGCATAACGGCATACACGTGGAAAACTAACGTTCCCAGCATTGCGGCTTGCACCAAAAACGTGATCAACGAGCGGACATAATTCGTAGAACCTCAAACTAATGGCCACCTGTTCCCGTGGTTCAAGTAATTACAGCGGTAAAGCGCGGTTCTTAATTCCGACGATTAATCCACATTTCGCGCGGTACATTCGGAATGATTTAAGAAATTTTACGGTGAGGCGGCTGCGATAATAGCGCGTGTGAAATGTAACGTTTAACTTGCCCCGAGCGCGGCGAGCACCGCGCTATTAGAAGCGGAGAACGAACGATGTTGAAAATGATAACTAATTCACGCCACGTAATCTCGAAGAAAAACGTCATGCCCGCTACACGCTATGTCGTAACTGGTACACATTAAATAATGTGCACGTTAAATAATACGCACCGAAATTATACATTTTGCAGAATTCGCCGCTGAAATGCCGGCAACTGTCGAAATGTGCTCTACGAGTTGCCAAAATTTGACTTACAACCGCCATCTTTCCCGAGATAAGTGCCTCAAATAGCAACATTTGCTCTCTCTTTTTCTCTCCTCTTTTTCTTTCCTCGTTTTCAATTTCCACTGAATAAATTATAAAATAAACTAACGTGCTCTTTACAATTCGTGAAATGAGGTACGAATATGTTCACATGGAAAAATCTATTAATACATTAGATACGTTGGAAAGGTACATTACCATTGCTCATACTGTAAACACTTTAGAAAGAAAAATGTTTGTCTTCAAACCCCAGCGGGAATAGATATGCAGGTTTCCAACTTTACCCATCTAGGTACAAAGTTCCGTCGCTTTTCGAGAGTTACGAGTTGAAAATTTGCTATCGCTATTGAACGCCATGAATAAAACCCTATTTATGTCTACGTTTCTAGCTGTGCGCGCAGTTGTAGTAAAAAATTTATTCCCGTTAATAAAAAATTATTTTAAATAAAATATAACTCTTTTATCGACTCGGCTCGAATTTAAACTGAAACATCAGAAGAAAACGCCAATTTTTATGCAAGAACATATTAATAGCGCACTCTAAATGCACGCTCTACGGGAGAGATGGGCGTCAGACGCGGGGAAGAAAACGGCGAGTTCTAAACATTCGAGTTCTCGGGGCTATCACTCAAATCGTTCGGCTCCCTCCTCCCTCCCCCCCCTACGCGAAAACGTAGGAAACACGCGGAGCGCCGTTAAGGTCGAGTGCCTCAGATGTAGGACGCTTTATACGCCACTTCCCCCTCCCTCCTGCTCTCGTCCCTTTTGGATCCAGTTCTCGATAAAACTTGTCGTCGACGCGGCGTGTCCGTTTGAATTAGTTATGCGCGCGGAGGATGTAATTCCCGAGAAAGGAGAGTAACAAATGGGTTTTGAAGGACCGCCGAGAAGAAACGACAGTTTGCCCAAAGCACGCTCGTTACAGTCGACGAAAGAGCTTTTTAGAAATAATGCTACTCGCGGAATTAACGGGAAACTGCTCCTGTACCATTTATGCGCGGTCTCGTGGAATGTTGTAATTCTGGTAAACACACAGGAAGAAGTTTATATAACATAACGTAAACCGACACTTCCGTTTATCTTTCGCACTGTGTTACAAAGTTGAAGTTAATAAGTTTCTCTCACGGGATATTTATTAAAGTGAATATCGCATGTGGAAGTTAACGCAATTCTGATAGGAAACAAGATGAGTAACGTTAATTTTTGCGGAATAATACATAAATCTAAAAAAATTATCTTCCTTCATATATATTAAAGATTCTTATATAGAGTATTTATACGATTATTATCTTACATAAAAACACGTTTAAACAGCCATTGTTCTTATCACTGATCAAAATATTAATCTCTAATTATTCTATTTTAGTAAGCAATATTTAAAATCAAAAATTTGGTTCGATAATTTATTCGTAATTTTGAGATGTAAATGTATCATAATTAGCCTGGTGTTATCGATGTTATGTACATCGAAGTATTCAAGACCAGGTGAAACAATGTATAACAATATATAACACATTAATTTCGAGTAATTATCCGAAAGAAAAAAACTTTTGTCGTACTAATAATTTTACTTCGCAAAAACGTCCAGTATTTACATATTCAATATTCATATATTCGATGTAAAAATATTTGCCCGGGTGTAGAACATATCGTGAATACATGAAAAATCTTCGCGAAATGCATAAATAGCGCTGGAGGGGGGGGGGGG